GAGAACTCCATCATTGCCACCGTGTGTCCCACCAACACAGCAGGTACACTTCTGGGGAAAAATCACAGCACTCCACTCCCTTAGGACAACCACTTAGCAAATCAGGACAAGACAGTCAAGAGTGGCAATTGAGAAATTGTCTCTATAATGTGCCTGCAGTAAGCCACGCTGCTAACAAAGTGCTGGGAAAAGGTCTCGGATGGGTGAGTAACATGGCTGGTGGCAGGCACATTAGGGTCCCACCTGTCCTCCACAGGCTGCATTCCTGTGGGCCTTGTCCCGCCCCCAACACACATATACACAACCCTTCCACACCCTGACAAGTAGGACACTATATCCAAGGGACTTATTCTCCTACCAATCAATCAATCAATGGAAGGCACCAGCTCCCAGCACTGAGACCCAGCACCTGCCTGGAGAGGCAGGCACCATGAGGGTTAGGAGCAACTGCTTTAGGACAGGGCACCTAGGCTCACCTGCCAGCCCTGCCTGCGTGTCCTAGGTGAGCCACCAAACTCCTGTGACTGTCAGATTATCCATCTGTAAGATGGGCTGTCATGCCAGGTCAATGAGGTAATGGAAGCCAAGTGCTTAGAACACAACGGGAATAGAACAGCACTTGGCCAGTCTTAGTGATTCCTCCCGTGCCTCAAAAACCCCTCTCTCTTTGTCCTAAGTGAGTAGTCCCTCCCCAGGACCACATGAGGATGAGCTAGCCCTGCAGAGTGTGGGACCCCGGCTAAGCAGTCAGCAGACCCACTCTGCCACTAGCTGCCACCAGAGTTTTGCCGCTCCAGCCATGAACAGGGGAAGGCACTTTGGCAGGGCAGGCTAAGACTCCACCAGCAATGTCAGTATCTCACATAGGCTCCCATTTGAGTCCCAGTTGTTCCACTTCTGATTCAGCTCCCTGCTGATTGCATGGCAAAGCAGCAAAGGATGGCGCAAGTGCTTGGGTCCCTGCCACCCATGTGGGAGACCCAGAAGAAGCGGCTGGCTCCTGGCTTCAGTTTGGTTCAGTTCTGGCCGTCGTGACCCTCTGAAGAGTGAACCAGCAGATGAAATATTTCACTCTCACTCTCTTACTCTGCCTTTCCAATAAATAAAACAAAATAAATATTTTTTTTTAAAAAAAGAGTTCAAGGTGCCGGCCCTGTGGCATAGTGGGTAAAGCTGGTGCCTGCAGTGCAGGCATCCCATATGGCTACCAGTTCAAGTCCTGGCTGCTCCTCTGCCAATCCAGCTCCCTGTTAATGCACCTGGGAAGCAGGAGAGTATGGCCTACTTGTTTGGGCCCCTGCACCACATGGGAAAACTGGATGGAGTTCCAGGTTCCTGGTTTCAACCTGGCCACGCCACGGCCATTACAACCATTTGGGGAGTGAACCAGAAGATGGAAGATCTCTTTCTTTGTCTTTCCCCCACTCTTTGTAACTCGGCCTTTAAAGTAAATAAATACAATTTTTGTAAGATAGATAGATGATAGAGATAGATATATAGAGAGATAGATAGATAGACATACAGAAGGCAGGCCAGTGAGCAGTCTCTGTGGCTGCAGTATCACAGAAAGCTACACAGCTCGGGCACCATATTCAAGACCAGGCCCTGCCTCGCAAGAGGCCCTTCCTGTTTGTTTCTGTGCTACCAGACAGAATGAGGAAAGCACCTTCTCAAAATCCCACAGAGGGACGTGCGGCCAGAGGAAAAAGAAGAAACAGAAGTCAACTGTGGGGCACACGTCACTCATTCTCCCCCTGAAAAAAGTGGTGTCAGCATCTTAACACTGAGTAGCACTGGAAGACGATGCAGGGACCGCTCAGCTCTGCCTGTGCTTGCCGGCTTCTCCCTGCACTCGAGCTGAGCTCCAGCATCCGTGGGAAAGATACAGCCCAAGAAGCTCGGCCCAATCAAAACCTGCATGAATCTTCAATTACGCTGGCATGGAGTCAGCAAGCACTCTTGTAGAAGAAAAAAGACATCCAGGAGTGTGTGTAGCTGTGGCTACATATGTGCATGTGTCTGCATGTCTGCATGGGTGCACACCCTCGCACACTTGGATGACAGGACATTTGTTGGAAAGCTTAAACAGTAGACTTTTCTGAATCTGGGACTATTTAAGCAAGAGTGAGAGGTGACATCTTCCCAAGCCTACAAAGGATGACTTGTTGCCGGTGATTTGTAAGTAAAGGGTTAAATCATTAGACAATCCTGGTCCTGAAATGCTGTGGAGTGTAATGGCTCATCTCCCTGGAAGGAATGTGTACATGCGGGGACAAAAGACTCCACTAAGAGACTATCGAAACTCAGAGCAGAGTGTGGTAAAGTGGCAGGAGAGAACATCAGCAGCCTATTTGTATACACAGACAATGTCATGGCTGACAAAGGACTTCAAAGACCAATCCCATTCACATAGCTACAAAGAAAATAAAATAGCTTGGAATAGATTTAAACAAGGATGTTCAATATATGGGAATCACAAAAGATTAAAGAATGAAATAGAAGAGGACACACACACACACACACACACAAAACACAACAACAACAAATTGAGCAGCTTCTGCACTGCCAAAGAGACACTCAGCAAAGTGAAGAGGCAAACTAACAGTTGCAAAGCATGCAACTGATAAAGAATCAACTGCCAGAAACTTTCAAGAAACTCAACAACAGCAAAACAAACAACCCACACAATAATTGGCCAAGGAACTTAAACATGCCAAATATTTCAAGAAAGGAAATCTCAACGGCCAATAAACACATGCAGAAATGCTCAGGATCACTAGCCATCAGGGAAATGCAAATTGATACTACAACGGCCTTAAGGATTTGGGGGAAGAGGCACCCTCATCCATTGCTGGTCGGAATGTAAACTGGTATCACCACTGTGGAAGACAGTATGGAGATAAGTCAGAAACAGATCATCAAAGAAGGAGGTACCTTTCTCTGAAGGGAGGAGAGAACCTCCACTTTGAACATGACCTTGTCTAAATATGATCAAAGTCGGTGAACTCAAGGGGCTTCCATAGCCTTGGCAGCTCATGACAAGAGCCTAGGGTGATTACTGATGCCATAAAAAAGACTGTCAATTTGTTAAGTCAACAACAGGAGTCACTGTGCACTTACTCTTCATGTAGGATCTTTGGCCTTAGTGTGCTGTACATTGAGATTTAATGCTATAACTAGTACTCAAACAGTATTTTTCACTTTATGTTTCTGTGTGGGACCAAACTGTTGAAATCTTTACTTAATGTATGCTAAACTGACCTACTGTATATAAAGAGAATCGAAAATGAATCATGATGTGAATGGAAGGGGAGAGGGAGTGGGAAAGGGGAGGGTTGCGGGTGGGAGGGACATTATGGGGGGGAAGCCATTGTAATCTATAAGCTGTACTTTGGAAATTTATATTCATTAAATAAAAGTTAAAAAAAAGAAATTTGAATACAGACATACTATATGAGACAGCCATTCCACACAAGGCATATACCCAAGGGAAATGAAATCAGCATACAAAAAAAGAGTTATCTCTGCCCCCCTATTTACTACAGCTTACTTCACACTAGCAAAGATATGCAATCAGCAACACGCCCATCACCTGAAGACTGAATAAAGACATTATGGGCTATGGACACCATACATGCATATACCGACTGCATAGCCTGCCTACTGTGCATCCACTGCAATAAGCACACGCCTGTGAAAACCTCTCTGTCTACACAATGACTTTGTTTCCTTCAATATGTTCCCAGTAGTGGGCACATCCATACATTTTCCATCTTGACAGGACTAATCTCACGTGAGAAATTCTATTGCTATACAGGTATATATTACAGAATACAGACATCGGATCCATAAACCCAATTTTACCTGAAAACACTCGAACGGCAAAGTACATCTTAAGAAACTGTAAGGATGAAAAAGATTCAAGCGGAAATCCACCCAACGGCATAGAAAATATCACAACAGACATTCAGAGAGACCAAACTACAGTGCTTGAAAACTCAGTCAACCTGACAAAACATTTATCCACAGGAAACAGGGGAAAAAAGGAGAACAGACTCAAGAGACTTGACAACAGAAATGACAGAGAGGACATCGCTACCAACCTTGCCAAAAAAATAATCCAAAACACTATGGAAAAACCACGGCCCAAGGGGAAAAACCACGGCCCAAGGATTTGGTCAACCCAGATAGAGTGAGTTGATTCTCAGAAAGACAAAAACCACTAAAACTAAATACAGTGAAACAAGAAACTCTGAATACATTTATGATTTGCAAAGAGACTGTAGTAGCAGGGAACCCAAATCAAACAAACCAAACAGACATGAAGAAAAGTCCACCTCCAGAGGGATCCACAGGTGAGAACGCCCATGGAAAAGATAATTAAAATCCGTGATTCGCAAACCCTTCCACCAAGTGATAAAGAGGAAAAGCCTTCCATTTCATTCCATCAGGCCAACCTTATCCCAACATCCAATACAAGCACATCATAAGGAAAATGGCACACACATACCCGTCACGAATGTGTCACATGCCTCAACAAAATATTACCAGACGACATCCAGAAGCACAACCAAAGCTTAGCACACTGTGCGCAACTGACAGTTACTCCGGAAATGCAAAGGTGGCTACCCTACAAAAGCAATGATCCCAGAACAGAATACACATGAGGAAAGCCCACAAAGTATCCTGACATACACAGAAAACCTAGTTAACAAAAACGTCCATGACATCTGCGATACTAAAACACAAATCATCACATCAGGAACGGAACTTACACCTCAGCCTGACAAGGTTCTTTCATGAAAAGCCCACAGAGCGCTAACATCACAAACAACGCGAGAAACCCGAAACCGGCCTCCTAGACCAGGAAACAGACACGCGCTTTCGCTCTCCTTCCTCCCATCAACAGTCTCTGACGTCTAGAGCAGGGCGGCTGGGCCCTCAAAAAGCAAACAGACGGGAACGCGGGGCCGTTCCGGGAGGAGACCGAGCCACCTCTGCTCTCGCACAGCTGCTCGCACCCTGGGGACCCTTCCAGACCGTCCGCACAGCACGACCGCGACTCCATCCGTGCCTTCAGGACGCAAGAGCAACAGGCACGCGGACAGCCAAGACGCCCAGCGGGTAACCGCCACAGCCGCGCGTCACTCACCTCCAACGGCGGCCCGGGCTGCTTCCGGGTCAGAGGTCCGCGAAGGCCGTTGCTTCCGGAAGGGGCCAATGAAGAGCAATGCGCCTGGGAACCAGCGCGGCAGTTTCAGACACGCAGCCTCTGATCCTAGCCTGACCCTGGGGACGCTGGGTCTCCCTCAGGCTCGGCCAGCAGCGTCGAGGACGGCTCCTCCCCTCACGGCTTGCACAGACTCTGGGGCAGGAGAGGACGCGACGCTGACTCCCAGCAGAGCACTGCCTGGCAGTCGCGCCCAGTGTGCGTGCGGATGCACTTCCGGGTCACCGCGCCAAGCGCAGGCGCACTCCCCACCGGCCATCACCATGGCACCCCAGGACGCACCTGCACACTGTGGCATCCAGTGTCCGAAGCCCCAAGGCCGCTTCCAGTCCTGCCTCTCCAGGCTGTAACCAGGGACGCAGATATTGATGGCCCACGTTCTCTGGACCCCACCTCCCTGCCTCGTGGGAGTCCTCAATGGAGCTCCTGCCTCCTGCCTCCTGCCTCCTGCCTCCTGGCTTCTGCCTGGCCCAGTGCTGGCCGCTCGTTGCAGCCACTTGGGGAGAGAAGCAGTGCAGGGGACTTCGCCAGCTCTCTCTCTCTCTCTCTCTCTCTCTCTTTGAGTGGTCTTCCATCTGGGGGTTCACCCCCGAGGTGGCTACAAAGGCCGGGACTGGACAGAAGCCAGGGGCTGAAGCAGAAGCCAGGGACTTTAGCCAGCACTCCATTCTGGGTTCAGGGGCCTAAATCTTGGACTGTCTCCCTCTGCTTTCCCAGGCAGGTTAGCAGACAGCTGGAGCCCATGGTGAACGGCTTCCGGGAGGGTCAGCACTCTGAGGTAGCAGGTAAAGCCACCGCCCGAAATGCCGGCTTCCCATATGGGCGCCGGTTCGAGTACGGCTGCCCCACTTCCGACACAGCTCTCTGCTGTGGTCTGCGAAGGCAGCAGAAGACGCCCCAAGTCCTTGTACCTCTCACCCAGGAGGATATCCCAGCGAGGATCCTGGCTCCTGGCATCAGACACTCTCAGCTCCGCCCATGGCAGCCAATTGGGTAATGGACCAGCAGATTTAAGACTTCTCTCCTCTCTCTCTCTCTCCCTCCCTCCCTCCCTCCCTCCCTATCTCCCTCCTCCCCTGAAATAAAACAAAAAAAAGTTTCTAAATTGCATAGAAACGAGTACAAATAGCCATCCATCAACTCTTTATCTACAATTACTATTTTGGAACAATTCAACATTCACTTTACTTCATATTCACTGTCTTTTTGTCTCCTGAACTATATCAAACAAATGCAGACATGATGCTCTTTTACCCATAACTAACCTGCATGTGTTTCCTAAGAACAAAACATTCTGATATAATTTCACTTCCATAATCACACTCAGTATAGTTGTGATTATACAGCAACATCAGGTCGAGTACAGCATACATTAAATTTCTCCAATCGTTCCTAAAATATCTTTAACCTTTTCTGTTAATCCAGAGTACAAGGAGTCTTCAGGAAGTTCATGGAAAATGAATTTTATGAAAAACATCTATTCACGAATTTCCATTTTTCTGCACCAAAATAAGTTTATTTTCATTCTATTTTTCCAAGAACTTATATGATTAAAGACAGCGTGGGACGACTCTGTGGAAAAGCAGGTTAAAGCCCTGGCCTGAAGTGCCAGCATCCCATATGGGTGCCAGTTGTAGTCCCGGCTGCTCCTCTTCCAATCTAGCTCTCTGCTATGGCCTGGGAAAGCAGTGGAGGATGGCCCAAGTCCTTGGGCCCCTGTACCTACCTGGGAGACCAGGAAGAAGCTCCTGGCTTCAGATCAACACATCTCTGACCATTGCGGCCATCTATGAGTGAACCAGTGGATGGAAGATCTCTCTCTCTGTCTCTAGCTCTCTCTGTAACTCTGGCTTTCAAATAAATAAAATATATCTTTAAAAAAAGGACAGTGCGTAGCACTGGATTGTTCTTTCTCTTCTATCTTTAAGCAATATAGTCTTTCCAATTCTTTCTACCAAGCAGGGATTGAAATACCAGTATCTACCTTACAGAGTTGATGGGAGAGGGCACCTAACGACGCCCAGCACCATGGACTCCCCCATGCCTCCACGGCATCCAGCAGCCTACTCTCTGCTGTACTTGTTGGTGGGAGAGTGCATAAAACAATGCCCAGTACCATGGACTCCCTCCGGGCCCCTGCAGCATCCAGCAGCCTGCTCTCTGCTACACTTGTTGCTGGGAGAGTCAACAGGAATCACAGGAAGAAAGAGCCCAGCACAGCCTCCTACACGGCACCACGGACTCCCCCGTGCCCCTGAGGCATGCAGCAGCCTGTTCTCTGCTGCAAACAGCAACACCTCATTCCAGAAGCCTGTGAGCCATGTGAGTCCTTGCCAGGGAGCAAACGGGGCCCACATGTGCTCCACAGATAAATGCTTCTGAGAGGGGCAGACTGACAGCCACTGACATCCTACATGGGCACTGGTTTTTGTCCCACTCGCTTCACTTCCAATCCAGCTTATGCTAATGACCTAGGAAAAGCAGTGGAGGAGCAAACCAGCAGATGAAAGAGCCCTATCTCTGTCCCTCCCTCTCTCTTCCAACTTCTACTTTCAAATAAACATTGAAATCTTCAAAATAGATAAACAAGGCCGGCGCCGTGGCTCAATAGGCTAATCCTCCGCCTTGCGGCGCCAGCACACCGTGTTCTAGTCCCGGTAGGGGTGCCAGATTCTGTCCCAGTTGTCCCTCTTCCAGGCCATCTCTCTGCTATGGCCCGGGAGTGCAGTGGAGGATGGCCCAAATCCTTGGGCCATGCACCTGCATGGGAGACCAGGAGAAGCACCTGGCTCCTGCCTTCGGATCAGCGTGGTGCGCTGGCTGCAGCGTGCTGGTTGCGGCGACCATTGGAAGGTGAACCAATGGCAAAAGGAAGACCTTTCTCTCTCTCTCTCTCTCACTGTCCACTCTGCCTGTCAAAAAAATAGATATACAAAAATAAAACCATATAAGATGGCATGTCACTCCACCAGACTGGCTGTTACCAAAAGACCCAGGCCACAGGTGCAGAAAGAGGGGTCTAGGCCGGCGCCGTGGCTCACTAGGCTAATCCTCCGCCTAGCGGCGCCGGTACACCGGGTTCTAGTCCCGGTCGGGGTGCCGGATTCTGTCCCGGTTGCCCCTCTTCCAGGCCAGCCCTCTGCTGTGGCCCGGGAGTGCAGTGGAGGATGGCCCAGGTGCTTGGGCCCTGCACCCCATGGGAGACCAGGAAAAGCACCTGGCTCCTGGCTCCTGCCATCGGATCAGCGCGGTGCGCCGGCCACATCGCGCTGGCCGCGGCGGCCATTGGAGGGTGAACCAACGGCAAGGGAAGACCTTTCTCTCTGTCTCTCTCTCTCTCACTGTCCACTCTGCCTGTCAAAAAAAATAAATAAATAAAAAATAAAAAATAAAAAAAGAAAGAGGGGTCTAGCACACTTCTCAAGGGAACGTATGTCAGTACAGCATGTTGAAAACAATCATGGCGGGTCCCAAAAAGCTAAAAACAACTCAACCTCTCCCATGACCCCACCAGCTCACGTCCAGATTTATGTACATGTGCATGTAATATGTATATTTACATGCATGTATTGCGTGAAATATGTATGTGACGTGTATATGTGTGATGTGTTTGTGTACATGTATGCGATATGTACATGTGAGTGTAATGTGTGTATGTGGTATATACACGAATACATGCATGTATATGGCAGAGCCATGTCTGCACTCACATGTCCACTACAGAACTGCTCATCACATCCAAGACAATGGAAACGCATGAATGCCCCTTGGCAGGTGAACAGACAAGGAATGGCAGCTGCAGCACACCCAGGAATACCCGGACCCAAAACACCCACAGGAGGGTCTGTCATTTAAAGCATGTTCAAGGAGACGAAAGTCACGTACTGTATATGAGGACTCCAAAGTCCTTAAAAGACAGGATTGAAATGTTCTTACTGGGACTGGTGTTACAGCACAGGGGCTAAGTCACTGCCTGTGTCCCCAGCACCCCATGTGAACACCGGTTCAAGTATTGGCTGCTCCACTTCTGATCCAGTTCCCTGCTAACGTGCCAGGAAAAGGAGCAGGAGATGGCCCATGCTTGGGCCCCTGACACACACACTGGAAACCTAGATGGTGTTCCAGGTTCCTGACTTCTGCCACGCACAGTCCCAGCCCTTGTGGCTATTTGGGGAGTGGAGCAGCAGATGGAAGATCTTTCTTCTCTCCCTCTCTGTGTGTTTTTGTGTGCACACACGCGTCCCCGTGTGTGTCTCCCTCACCCTACACCCGTAACTGCCCTTCAAGTAAATAAATAAATCTTAAAACACAAAAAAAGGGCAGGGGAAGAAATACCAGAGAGCTGATCTGTCTGCACCCCATGAGAACACAGCAAGAAGATAGCCGCCCTCACCAGGAACCCAACCATGCTAGCACCTGGGTCGGACTTGCAATGCTGTGAACCATCAGAAAATCAATGCCTGTGGTTGGGCCAGGCCAGCTGTGGGGTTTGTTACAGCAGCCTGAGCTGACTAACACACCCCCAAAGGCCTCAAGAAGAGCATGTGACAACCTGACACAGCTAACCCGTGAACTCATGTCCCCACGCAGCCTGGCTTGTTGCTGCAGAAGTTACAATTCCCATTGCCCCTGGCTCCATCTCCTTACTGGCATCACCAGATGGGAGAACTCCATCATCACCACTGTGTATCCCAACGACACAGTGGGTACACTTGGGGGTAAAAATCACAGCATTCCACTCCCTTAGGACGACCACCTAGCAAATCAGGACAAGACAGTCAAGAGTGGGAATTGAGAAATTGTCTCTATAATGTGCCTGCAGTAAGCCACACTGCTAACAAAGTGCCGGGGTGAGGTCTCGGATGGGCGAGTCACATGGCCGGTGGCAGGCACCTCAGTGAGCTGACTACAGTGCACACCTGGGAGCAGGTGAGCTCTCAGAAACGAGGGAGCTGCTTACCATCACTCAGGTCCTGCAGGAGACACTCCTGGCAGAAGTCCAGGCTCTCTTTCATGGTGACCTTGAAGGTGGCTGCCTGCCCAGGCTGCAGGGGAAACTGGGTGAGGGTTTCTTCCAGCTTCCAGCTCAGGAAGTCACCGTACAGTTTCTCTGCAATGATAACAACAATAGTGATGGTGATGGTGATGGTGATGGCAAAGCAGAGGCACAATGAGACTGACACAAAACTGGCTGGAAATTCTGGCACACGCTCAAAAACAAAGACGAGAAACATTCAAGATGTCAGAGAGAAAAAGGTCCCAGGAAAAGTCCTGAATCAGAAGAGGCCATGAGGCACAAAGAGGAGGGAGAATGCATCACGCCCGGCCACAGGCCCCCGCCAGGCCACCATCCCTCCTGGGGAGCCATGGGACCTGCGGACGAAATGAAGGTCTGTGGCACTGGCAAGTGAAGCTAAGTTTCCCCACCATGAACATTTTCTGTATTGTACTGCTGTGAGGGAAACAGACCCGCGTTAAGCAGGGACACCGCTTCAGAGAAAGAATCCAGAATCAGAAACACAAAGCTAAGAGCTGAGCCTCAGGCAGGGCCGGCAAGGAAGCGGCCTTGGGCCTGGAGCACTGTGCAAAATGGTTTCTCCACAGCCCCAATCATGCGTTGCGTTCCTGTGTGCCCTGCCCCCCACACACACACACACATACACAAAACCCTTCCATGCCCTGACAAGTAGGACACTATATCCAAGGGACTTATTCTCCTACCAATCAATCAATCAATGGAAGGTAACAGCCCCCAGCACTGAGACCCAGCACCTGCCTGGAGAGGCAGGCACCGTGAGGGTTAGGAGCGCCTACTTCAGGACAGGGCACCTAGGCTCACCTGCCAGCCCTGCCTGCGTATCCTAGGTGAGCCACGGAACTTCCGTGTCTGTCAGTTTAGCCATCTGTAAGATGGGCTGTCATGCCAGGTCAATGAGATAATAGAATCCAAGTGCTTAGAACACAACCCGGTCTAGAACAGCACTTGGCCAGTCTTAGTGATTCCTCCTGTGCCTCAAAAACCCCTCTCTCCTTGTCCTAAGTGAGTAGTCCCTCCCCAGGGCCACATGAGCATTTGATAGCCCTGCAGAGTGTGGGACCTTGGCCCATCAGTCAGCAGGCGCACTCTAGCACTAGCTGCCACCAGAGTTCTGCTCCTCCAGCCATGAACAGGCCCTGGCATGGGGGAGCAGACAATAGCGACAAAAGCATGGGCCAAGTCCTGGCATTCGGTTTATAATTTGGTTTATAATTAGAACAGATGGAAACAAGATCCACAGGAAAAAAAAAAAAAACAGGATGCCACCCTGAATGTACAATGTAATTTCAAATGCATAATAGTACTCAAATAGAAACATAAAAGAAAATATATCTGTACACTAATATCAGTTTGCTTTGAGTCATGGGATCATGGGTAATTTCAAATGGTTTTGTATTTTTTGAATTTTCTGCAATGAGTCTTACCATGCTTTTATAAAGAAATACACACAAGGATACAAGTTCACAGAAAATAGAATTAAATGGTAAGTTTATTTTGATGCTAAAAAAATTGAAATTCTTGCATATGAGGAACCTTCAAAGCGTTGATGAGAAATGTATATTATGAATAAAGCATGCATGGATTTCAAAAATGTTTGGCACCAAAATAAATTACTTTTAGTTCTGTTCTTCCATGACTTTTGGGAAGTCCCCTTGAACCTGCATACACACACACACACATACACACACACACATATTTGTATAAACCTGCACTAACAGCTCTTTAAGTCTAGGCCCCTGTCCCCCTAACCTGGTTTCATGCAGGGAGAAGCCTGTGGGTCCAGCCTGCACATCCACATGCAAGACCAACCACACCAAGGCCTGTGGCCCACCCAACAGTGAGAGGTGGGTGCTGAGCCAATGCAGATGCCCTCATGGTGCCCCACGCTGTGGATGGGCAGTAATGTTTCCTGATGACAGGAGCAGCAAATCACAGGGACTGTGTATCCCCAAGTCCCAGGCTCGTCTAAGCCAGCTGATTAAACATCCCTGGGGCAGCAGATTAACTCTGTGGCAGCCATGCCCATGGGCAGGCGATCAGATGCCTACAAAGAGTTTGAACAGGCTAA